GGTGGCCTCCACCATCAGGTCCATGGGCCGGAGCACCGGTACCTATGATGGGAGGCAGAGTGTCAGCACTCAGGGACGGGTCCCGCTGCCCACCGGACCCGCGCCAACACCCGGCACAGGGGGGACACCGGCTCCACCACGGTGGGTGCCTGCAAGCACCGGCTGCGCACTCTCCATCCCCCTGCCTTGGCACACGTCCTCACTGAGGAAACCCAGCGCCTGCCTGTGGGCATGAGCAGGACAAGCAGACACAAAACCCTTCACCTTTGAGAGAGGCACCAGTACGGTTTGATCGCAGCAAGATCCCAGCAAACCAGGACCAGGTCTGTGCTGCAGCGGCTGGTCCTTCTTTGGGAGAAACAAACCAAAACCTGCTTCTGCCTTGTTTTGTCACTGTTAACCGGAATCTGAAGTTCCTGGCGCATTTCTAACAGACACATATGTCTTGAGAGAGCCAGGTCAGCACAGAGTTTTCTTTTAACTTCTTTTGCGTTTGCTTCACAGCAAAGTGACAGAGGTGAGAGATAAGAAGAGCCAGGGAAAGGGAACACACAGGGCAGGGACAGATGGAGGGACTAGAAAGAGAGCTATACATGTCTGCCTTTAGATTAATAAGCATAACTCATGTAAACGGGGGATGGAGAGATGCAGTAAGAACAGGGAACGCAAGGAGCTGTGCAAGTAATAGCTTCAGACATGGCGCTCCGGAGGCAGCTCAGCGCTCTCGGAGGTGTCAGGCCGTGCTCCCGTTCGGCAGCAAGCTATTCCCTCAAGCTACTTCATTACTGTGTATATTATCTGTGTGCTGCCCAAAGAGATTTCCCCTGGCTGCCGAGGTGGGGACAGGAGTGTGACAGCCAGCGCCAGTGACACCAGAGCGCAGGGACTGCCAGCGCCGAGCCGGAGCTTAACGTGACGAGCCTGCCTGCTAATTCGGCCTGACACAGGCAATGATGCATCGTTTGCGCTGACGGACTCGGCTCAGCCGCTGGGGACAGAGGCTC